TTCCTATTGAGGATAAAATCGATATATTTTAAAATTAATAAATTTTTGTATATCTGAATAATTGATAGAAAAAAAAAATTTCTTTTTTCAGTATTACTAGAATCAAAATTATTAATCATTAAAATTCATTTTCCAGTTTTAATAAAATTTTAAATATTTCCTATAATTTCAAATTCAAAAAATCAGAATATTGTAAATATTATAATAATGCAGACATTTTAATAATTTTTAAATAAATTTTTCTATATCAAAATCTTAATGACGTATATTATTAAAAAAAGAAAAAAATTGAAAATTGTGTTTCTGTATATATATATATATATTTTTTTTTGCGCAGTGGATCAAAATTGAAGACATTGTTCAATTTAATATGAAATTGCTTTAGTTGAAAGTTCGTTGATATTTCGAGCAGAATCATATCGTTGAAAGTGCTTGCGTTACGAGAGTTGACTCTCGAAGGTATCCACGTTGCGCTTCCATCTCCGATCAATTTGTCCTAGACGCGAGAAACGTCCTCATTCAGTTGGTTTCAGAATACAAGTCTCATGGGTAAAAAGGGCACCGTCAGAATCTCAAAGAGGTGGTCGCGTACAGTCCTACTTTCTTGTCAGCTTTATACCATCGTCGCTCAACTTTTCTTCAGAGGGACACGTCCTTTCATTCCGTTTCTCACACCCCCTTTTTCGTATGCTTTCGTGCTTCGTGTTTCTCATTCCTCATCAAGGCCTATGTCTCTCGCGACACGACAGAGAAAGAGAGAAAAAGAGAGGGTGAGAGAGAGAGAGAGAGAAAAGAGAGTGCACTAGACAAAGAAAAGTCTCGTGTGAATGCAAATGGAAAATTTGATTCACTACGAATGAACACTTACTTTTAAAAAAAATAGACTACAAATAGAGACACGAAACAAAAGGTACTTTTCTTTCATGTTTCCTTTGATTAACTTTCTACAATTACTTGTGTCTAATGTATAACCACATTTCTCACAATTCTCCATTGTCAGTATAAAATCTCCCCACCCTCACCAAAAAATCACATTTTTACGTATATGTAAAAAATATTATTTATTTTACTTACGTAAAAATATTTATTTATTCATTTATATTTCATCATAAATGAGTTTCAAATAAACTCTTTTTTTTTAAAAAAAAGTAAATATTATTTATTTATTTTAACAATTTTTTTGTAAAATTATTTTTTCCATTTGAGAAAAATTTCATTTGTAATTTAAGAAAAACAAAAAAAAAAAAAAACCAAAGATTATTCTTTTGATTTTATTTCCTCTCAATTGTTCAAAAGAATAGTGATTAAAATTAAAAAATAAATAAATGAAGAAAAAAAGGAGACAAATAAAAAAGAAAAGAAGGCAAAAAAATAAATGTTACATGGTTTAAATCCAACAATATAGTAGAAGTCGTCAGCAAATGTTTTACATAATTGATTAAAGACTGGTACAAGCTAGGTGGTTTTAGTTCAGTTAAATACAGAGTTAGCTTTAAAAATAAATTAGTAGTTTCCATTCTATTCGCTTAGTTAAATGTAACTAGCGCGCGCAACCGACATGTGAGAGGGTCTAAATATAATATTTAAAAAAAAAAAAAAAAAAATACGTAGAAGACAAACATATTAGAAATAATTATACGTTTATTTTTTCTTTTGGGGAGAAAATTAAGTTAAATTTCAAAAATTCTAAAAACAACAAAGAAAACGAAAATTTTCATTTATAGTCAATATAAACGAAGACGAAAAATTAAAATTCAAAAAATGAAAACTTAAAAAAAAATAAAATAATAATGAAATAAAAAAGGTAAATATTTATAAAAATCCATTTTGTTTCATTTGTGAGACAACTTCATGACATATACGTGATGAATGAGATATTGGGTAGACAAAATTAAATTTTTAAAATAGAAAACGTTTATAAAGTAATGAGTAAAAAAAAATCGTACGATATCAGACAGAATGGAATTTTTAAGTAGAAAAAGCGTATATAGCCAGACACAATTGAATTTTTAAGTTGTAAACGCTTATAGACATTTCACTCATAGACTATATGATATTTTAATAAAGACAAAAATAACTTTTAAGTAGAAAAATCATGATTCAGTCCGACAAGGTATCAAAAAATCTCAATATAGAAGAAGTTAATAAAAATTAAATTTTTAAGTGACAAAAAAAAACTAGTCAGAAAAAAATAAATTTTTAATTACATAGAAAATTAAATTTTCATTATAGCAAACGAATACCGGAATTTTTTTTTATTAAAAAAAGATATTTTAATATAGAGAAAAAAATAATTAAAAATTATTTTATTTGTTTAAAAATAAAAATTTAATTAAACAATTTTATTTATAAATTATGTAGTACCCTATATCTTTTATTACATGGGTGTCCTTTTGAATAATGTCACAAGGAAGTTCATTTAAGCTTTGTTTAGTCTCTCCTAATGTGAAATAAATACATGTCTTTGTCTCAAGAACAAGAGAATTAATTCGCATCTAAATTAACTCTTCCTTCGTCTTACCCATCTCTCTCACTTCCAAGCACACCTTCTTCTACATTTAGTGAGTAATTTCGTGTATATAAATTTATGATAGCGCCTGTGCGCACGAGCTCCCAGAATCCCTGATAATTAAGTAAGGACTACTACAACAACGAAACACAACGAAAATGAGGAAGAAAGGATGAAAGATCATTTGACCCGTCAGGAATGCCGTTTCATCTCGTCGCGTTGATATTACATTAACGATTGTACTATTACCGTTATCGTAACGGATAAAATGAGCCGTTATATCAATTTCAGTTTGCGAGAGTTGAATGTGCGACGTTCTCTCACATCCACCCCCCCTCCCAACCCCCTTCACGCCTTTTTGCCTCCTATATCCCCCCTCACCCCTAGAGACGTAATATTTTCAAGACTCGCGTTTACGCATTTCTCTCTTTCTTTTTTTTTTCTTCTTATTTTTCTATTTTCTCTCTTTTTTTCCTCTTTCTTTTCCTTTTTTTCCTACTCTTTCTCTCTATTTTCAAATTACATATGGGTCAGTAGAAAAAACTTATTAAGTCAGACAAGATAAATTACTAATTAAAAACCGTATTTTAAGTAGAAAAATTGTATTAAGTCAGACAAGTTGAACTACTGAAAAAAACCGTATTTTAAGTAGAAAAATCTTATCAAGTCAGACAAGTTGAATTACTAATTGAAAAACCGTATTTTAAGTAGAAAAATCGTATTAAGTCAGACATGTTGAATTTCTAACTTAAAAAACGTATTTTAAGTAGAAAAATCGTATTAAGTCAGACAAGTTGAATTACTGAATGAAAACCGTATTTTAAGTAGAAAAATCTTATCAAGTCAGACAAGATGAACTTCAAAATTAAAAACCCTTATTTTAAGTAGAAAAATCGTATTAAGACAGACAAATTGAATTACTGAATAAAAACCGTATTTTTCAGTAGAAAAAACTTATTAAGTCAGACAAGTTGACTTACTAATTAAAAACCGTATTTTAAGTAGAAAAATTGTATTAAGTCAGACAAGTTGAACTACTGAATAAAAACCGTATTTTAAGTAGAAAAATCGTATTAAGTCATACAAGTTGAATTACTGAAAAAAACTGTATTTTAAGTAGAAAAATCTTATCAAGTCAGACAAGTTGAATTTCATACTTAAAAAACCTTATTTTAAGTAGAAAAAAACTAATTAAGTCAGACAAGTTGACTTACTAATTAAAACCCGTATTTTTTAGTAGAAAAAACTAATTAAGTCAGACAAGTTGACTTACTAATTAAAAACCGTATTTTTTAGTAGAAAAAACTAATTAAGTCAGACAAGTTGAATTACTGAATCAAAGCCGTATTTTTTAGTAGAAAAAACATATTAAGTCAGACAAGTTGAATTACTAATTAAAAACCGTATTTAAAGTAGAAAAATTGTATTAAGTCAGACAAGTTGAACTACTGAATAAAAACCGTATTTTAAGTAGAAAAATCTTATCAAGTCATACAAGTTGAATTTCAAACCTAAAAAACCTTATTTTATGTTGAAAAATCGTATTAAGTCAGACAAGTTGAATTACTGAATAAAAATCGTATTTTTCAGTAGAAAAAACTTATTAAGTCAGACAAGTTGAACTACTGAATAAAAACTGTATTTTAAGTAGAAAAATCGTATTAAGTAATACAAGTTGAATTACTGAATAAAAACTGTATTTTAAGTAAAAAAAATCTTATCAAGTCAGACAAGTTGAATTTCATACTTAAAAAACCTTATTTTAAGTAGAAAAATCGTATTAAGTCAGACAAGTTGAATTACTGAATAAAAACCGTATTTTAAGTAGAAAAATCGTATCCAGTGAGACGTGTTGATTCAAGTTGGTCAACTTGAATAAAAAAAGTGTTTTAAGTAGAAAAAAACATATTATGTCAGACAAGTTAAATTACTGAATAAAAAATCGTATTCTAAGTAGAAAAAACGTTTTTAGTCAGACATAAAATAAAATTTTTTTAAATTCCTCATACATTTATTAGTATTAAAAAACCATTGAGAAAACAAATGAAAGTCAATTGGAAAAAATTTAATTAATAAGCTATTATCTAATTATGTTATAATTGAATAATTAAAAACATTTATTAAAAAAATGAACATTTAGCATTCAAATCAATAAGGGTAATTATTATTAATAATAAATAATAATTAATTTAACGATAATTACTATTATTTAATTATGATTTAAATAAATAATAATTCTTTTCCAATTTTTTAAGTGAATGACTTGTTTTTTATTATTTCAAATAAAAAAAAAAAATTTTGAATGAATTATATTTATGTATATTATATATATATATATATATATATATGTATATTATTGCTGTTTGGACGCTTGCGCGCCTCGCAGGTGCAATTGTTGAGTGCGTGCAGGTGCACCTGTCGTCGAAGCGTGCGCAAGCGTCCAGGTAATTGTACGTAAAGCTTTGAGACGGCGAGCTTTCACAGTCGGCAAGCGCCGTTCGCGTCGCGTGTTTTCCCATTGAGCCGCCAACATTCACAAATGATACACGATCTTTTAAAATAGTTCGAGGCAAACTCTTGTGAATTAAAAAAAAAAAAAAAAAAACGCGTGTGTTTATTATTCCACCCTCCCCAAACCCTGGAAAAAAATACCTCGAGGATTTATAATTTTTTTTTTTAAATTTAAATTTAAAAATTCTTTCTATTCAACTTTTACAATATCTGCAATAGTTATAGTGTTTAATTTTTTTTTTCATAAATATTCTTCTAAAATTTAATTTAAAAAAAAAAAAATTTATTAAAAAATTAATTACAAAATTTTGAAATAAAACAAAATTATTCTCTTTTTTTTCTAAATTTTCATTTCTATTCTATTGATTTATGAAGAGAAAAAAATTTCCATGAAAATAAAATTCCTTGGTTAAATAAAAGAATGTCTTGTTTAAATTTACAAAAGTTTTGTCAACTCGCGCGCTCACAGAAAAGCGTTTGAAAAGTTAGAATGTAAACAATTTTATTCAAAATGTTCGTTTATTTGGAAAGTGTCGCTGAAACGTGTAATTTGAGATAGTACTCAGAGAAAGAGAGAGAGAGAGAGAGAGAGAGGGGGGGAAAAATAGTGAAACGAGAAAAGTTCATTTTCATGCAAATCGATCAATTGACTTTACGATTATTTTTTTGGGAAAAAATGCGACGAACTTTGATTAAAAAATTATTCGAGTGCATCTCGACAAGGTGAGATTGGAAGGTTTTTTGTTTTTTTTTACCTCACATAAAATTATTAATATTTTGTTGATATTAAACTATTTTTAATTTTATTTTTCATAGTATTTTTTATTAACATTAAAAAAAATTCAAGTAGAAAAAACCATATCAAGTCAGACAAAAAATAAATTATTGATAGATTTAAACAAGAAGTTATTAAATTTTTTTTGCAGTGAGAAAAATACATTCAATATTGGAAATTAAAAAAAAAAAAATTCCATGGAATTCTATATATATTGGTTAAAATAAACCGATAAACAAATAATTAGCTTGAACAAATTAGCGTCTCGAATTTACTAAAGGGTATATGTCGAATGAGAATCGATTCACGTTGATGGTACACGTGCGCTTTTCAATTTAGACAAATAATCCTCTTTTGTTTCAAAGCACATCAAATACCGATAATATTATGTATAACTTTTGATGGGTAAATATATATATATATATAAATATATATTAAATAACAGGAAACTAATGACATGTGATGAACACATCAAATAGAAAAAATAATCTTGATCCCAAATGATCGAATACAAGTAATTAAATTTTACTTTCACTTTTATTTCTAAAATGCAAATATTAATATTTTGATCCTCTGTTTTACAATTTTTTATTTTAATAACAAATAAAAAAGGAAGAAAAAATTTTCTACTTTTTAACATTTTTAAAAGAAGAATCAGTTTATTATGTACCGTACTAAAAAATAATTACGTTTTCTGTTTTCATAATAAAAGCGTATATTAAGCCATACAAATTGAAATTCTAAGTAAAAAAAAAAAGATTGTTGGTAAAAATTAAATTATTAAGTAGAAAAGAAGATGTAAATAAACTTTAAAAATGTATTTTGTCCTACAAATTGAAGTTTTAAGTAGAAAAATCTTATTTAGTCAGACAAATTAATGTTTTAAGTAAAAAAAAAATTTTTTGTCAGACAAATTAAAGTTTTAAGTAGAAAAATCTTTTTTAGTCAGACAAATTAAAGTTCTAAGAAGAAAATATTTTTTAGTCAGACAAATTAAGTTTTAAGAAGAAAAAATTTTTTTTGTCAGACAAATTAAAGTTTTAAGTAGAAAAATCTTTTTTAGTCAGACAAATTAAAGTTCTAAGAAGAAAATATTTTTTAGTCAGACAAATTAAGTTTTAAGTAGAAAAATCTTATTTAGTCAGACAAATCAAAGTTTTAAGTAGAAAAATCTTATTTAGTTAGACAAATTAAAGTTCAAAGTAGAAAATAATTTTTTTAGCAAATTATTAAGTAGAAAAGAATATGTATGTAATCTTTAAAAATATATTTTGTCCTACAAATTGAGATTTGAAGTAGAAAAATCTTTTTTAGTCAGACAAATTAAAGTTTTAAGTAGAAAAATCTTTTTTAGTCAGACAAATTAAAGTTTTAAGTAGAAAAATCTTATTTAGTCAGACAAATTAAAGTTCTAAGTAGAAAATACATTTTTAGTCAGACAAGAATAATTACCAAGTAAAAATTGATAAGAAATTTTAAGTAGAAAAATTGTATAAAGTCCGACACAAATTATTTTTTACTAAAGAAATTTAAAAAAAAGAAATTTGAAAATAAAACTTTTTTTAAATAGAAATAAAATTGTTAACTCAGATATAGTCTAAACAAAAAAATTAATATAATTTCAAAAATTGTCTACTAAAATTAAGTACATGTAGAGAAGTTTTAATTAAATAATTTAATTTAAACTATTGAATAAAAAATAATTCGTTGAGATGCAAAATTAAGATTTTAATTAACTGGTTTTAATTTTAATTGAATAATTAAAGTGAAAAAATAGTTGAAATTAAAAAATTTACAGTTTTTATTCAAATGAATCGCTGGTACATAAAATGAATTAGTTAACAAATAAATGTACAAAGGATTACATATTTACATGTTGTAGTTTACTATTTGCTCAATTGGCTCTCGAGGGACAATTCCATTGTTTAATTAAGTGTCGCACAAGCGAAGAGGAAGGAAGCTTAATTCAACGATAATAATATCAAATATCGTGTGCTGATTAGGTGCTACTGCTTTCCGAATAAAATATTATTAATTTTTTTCTTTCCTTTTTGTTTCTAAATTCCATAAATAATAATTAATATTATTTTATTCTCTTTTTTCGATTATCTTAATTGTAAATTTATTTCATTTTTTTTTTGCGATTAAAAAAAATTATTCTCTAAAATTTTTGTTAACTTTTTAGAATATTTGATAATTTTTGAACTTTTGAACTAAATTCAATAATACGACTTTGACATTATATTATATATTATTTAGCACTTGAATAATTTTGTGAGATTAAATTCTAATTAAAAACTGGCAGTGAAAAGGGTTTAATATATAAAGAGAAATGAAATGTCTCCTCACATGTGACATGTTGTTAAATTGAAACCGTAAAAAGTTTTTCTTTTTAGAAAAAAAAAAAAAAAAAAAAAATTTCTCAAGTATCGATAAAATAAATGTGAAAGACGACCCTCTTATACTGATACTGACCTTAATTTCATTCGATACGTTATGTATATATTTGAAACAAAATGCGTTATATTTGTATTTTTTAAAAATTGAATTTAAAAAAAAAAACCTTCTTCTAAGTGTAAATTATTTTTTTTTATAAAGGAAAAATAAATATTTACAGTCATAAATAAACGTTTACAAATATAAAGTTAAAAATTTCAATTTAAAAAAATAAATAATAAAAAATTGCTCTCAGTGACATGAAGTTATTAAATGTGGTAATAAAAATTTGGTTCAAAAAAAAAAAAAGTTATTCGATATCAAATGGAAATCAAGATTAATTGAATCATATAACATGACAAAATGATATATATATATAGTTTACTTATAAAAAAAATGAAAATATATCTTTATTTTCATTTTAATTAGTAATAATTTAAATTATATTCTTTTCTTGAAAAATTTAATTATACAATCAATTTTGATAAGTGTATTTTTTAATAATTAATAAAGTTTGACATAATTAAACAAAAATCTTTAATTTTTATCTCACTTCAATTTAGATTATTAAATAATTTGACATGAAAAAAAAAATATCTCATATATGTCAATTTTTATATTGATAAACGATAATTATATATTTACAATGGAAAAAGAAATTTATGATGAATATTTCTTTTTGTAATTAATAGGAAAAATAAAATCTTTCGCCGTGTAAAAAAAAAATTGTTTTTTCTATTTGTCGGCTTTCGGTATATGTATAAACAGAGATAAACGAAATATAGATGACAAAAATCAAAGACATTTTAGTATTCAGCTTTTTTGTCATTTGCTACGCATGGTTAGGACTTTAGAACGTCGCATTTTTATCGTGAATATTCATAGGGACATGCATATAATTTTTTTTTTTTTTTTTTTGCCCCCGCTTGAATGTAAAAATCTGTTTTCCTTAAAAGTCTTCTTTTGCATCGTTACTTTACATGATGTATGCACTTCGTAGATCATGTATAAATCAAAAGGTTTTTGAACAATTTTCCCCTCAAATCTCTGGTGAAAGCTTTAACAAGCGCAGTATCTGATTTATTAATCTCATATATATATGGATTCGAATAGAGAATTAATTTTATTTATATTTACATTTAAATGTTAAAAAAATATTAAAATTTTCGGAAAAAAAATTAAAAATTATTTTTTATTCGAAATACAGAAATTTATTCATATTTTCGTTATTTACTATTAGCAAATATTTTATTATTTAAAACACATAATTTTTTTTTAGATAAACTACTAGAAAAAGAATTAATAAAATCTTTCACCGCGGGGGAAATTAAATTCCAACGATTTTTCTCATTTATAAAATGAAGAAATGTCGTTATATATATAAAATAGAACGGAATATTCTCTTTTGGATTATTCAACTGAAATTATTATTAATATTAAAGAATTAATAAAAAAAAAATTTTTTTTTTTTATTTTTCGCAATCAACTTGCATTATAGACGTATATTTATTAGAGAGTAGAAAAAAAAGGCATGACGATAAGAAATTTTTATAAAAGTATAAAAGATAATTAAGAAATTAAGTTTATCCTCTTGACAATTGAAAAATACAATTGATCGTAAGTTGGTGGATGAAAACAAAAAGAAGAAGAAAAAAAAAAAGAAAAAAAATAGATACATAAAAACAAAAATAAGAAAATGAAACAATAATCGTGCCGAGGATTGGAATTGCGAAGTTATGGCGTTCATAAAGGGCCGCATCTTAGCTTTTATATGATAGCAAGAAGGTAGTTAGATGACGACCACCTGGGGATTTGATAACATGAAAATCTTCTGAAATCGTCGTCTGTAAATTGACAGTGAACTTAACGCGATACAATGCTTTAAATATAATGGCATTCATTTTCTCCTGCACTGAAATTATAAATACAATTTGCGAAAAAAGTATTTAAATAAAAAGAAATAAATAAGAGACAAAATTTTATTAATTAAATAATTTATAAATTAGAATAATTTTAATATTCAACTAAAATTATAATTGAAATTTCAAATAAAATCATAATTGAAATTTCAATTTTAATTAAAATTTTTAATTAAAATTTTAATTACAATTTTCATTAAAGTTTTAATTACAATTTTCATTAAAATTTTCATTCAAAATTACAATTAACTTTATTAACATTTAATCGAATTAATAATATTAATAAATGTAAATTTTATTTTTTTAAAGATTATCATTTTTTTTCATAAATTGTAATTGTTTAATAAATTTTAATTTAATTTTCACTTTTAATAAAATTTTATAATTTAATTTTTATTTTTACAAATTTTTTGTTTTTAATTACTAATGAGCATTTTGAACACTTCATTATATAATTGAACACTTTTATAAATGGAGATTTTCTCTTTTTTTTTCTCTCTCTCTCTCTCTCATCAGTATATTTACAAATATTATTGATTAATCGATATTTTAAATTTGTTCATTAAAATTATAATGAGCTAGGAAATTGAAGTGAAATGAAAGCATAAAGAGAACTCTGAATGCATCGAAAGAAGAGTTTTAAATCTAAAATGTGCTTGGAAGTGAAGTTTTTTCACTTTTTCATTAAATGGAATAAAAATCGTGACAGTTAGTGAACAATAAAAATCTGTGAAAAGCACGTAAGAGACTTATTGTTCTTATTTGAACAAAAGCAGTTGCAATGGATTTTGTGCTAATAGTATTGATGGCACTGTGGCAACAAGGAGGTGAGTTATCAATATTATATATATATATTTTTTTTTTATTAAATAAATAGCAATATTTTTTTTTTTTGAAATTCAATCGAACCGTAAGCAATTAATATTGAGAAATGATGGAAAAAAAATTTAATATCACTTATTATTTTCTTTTATATATATATATATATATACAAGAAGTGAAAACAAGTTCTTTATGAGGACAATATTTTCATTATGAAAAAAGAAGGCATTATAAATAAAAAATTAAAAATATTTTATATTTTCTCATTTTTGTAATAAAAAAACAAAATGCAATAAAAATATTTTTCTGGGTAAAAAAAAAATCAACATTTTTTTTTTTTTTTTAATGGATTTATCAGGTTTTGCGAGTGCTTCTCGAAATAGTGAATTTTATCGTAAAACTATTTTGAGGACCAGTCATAAAACATGAAAAATGCATTTAAAAAAATTTTCATTCCACGAAATTGAATTTGAAATACATTAATAATTTTCACGTGAGTAAGTTGTCTAACATGTGATTTAAATTAAATTTAATCCAGTCTCTATTTTGAGAAAGTGCTTAGCAATGATTGAAAATTAATGAATCAACACTTATTCAATGCATTCTATTTTCGTTATTTATATGAAAAAAAAAAATATTCACGAAATACGAAAATTTAATTATTCAATAATAATATTTTAAAAAATTAATTAATTTTAATATTAATTTAATAAAAAAATTTTATTTAATAAACAAAATTCAATAATTGTATTTTCTTATCAAATACCTATTCCATTTTTTTATCAAATATTATTTTTTTTTATTTTATTATTATTAAAATATAAAATTTTCTCTCTACTGTTATTGTAGGAAAAATTTTATTTTCGAAAAAAAAAGAAATTCTTATCTATTCGAGAAAAAATTTTTTTTTTTTGACTAATGCATTGTCATAAAGAATGAAGTTTTATAATCTAAAATAACTTTTTAGATACTAATTACTCAGGCTAGAGTTGAATATAGTTATCAGAATTTTTGCCGAAAAACAAAAAAAAATTGCTTTTTGTGAATTTAAAACGCAAAGCAAAATATAGAGAGGATTTATTATGCCCTGACACTCGGCCCCCTAAGGGTAACAAAAGAATGGTCTCCGAAGTGCAATGATATAAAATAAAGCACGTAGTTGCACCTACGTGGAAAATACTATACATAGACATTAAAATCACGTGCGCATAATAACGCGGCTCACTGAAGTTACATGAAAACTTTTGCGCGATAATAGAAGTCAGTATATAATACACATTAACATTATATCCTGGATTTTCAATTCCTGTCAGTCACTATATAATACCTACACTATATATACCATGTATTTGCATAAATGAAGATGTTTCATGGAAATTATTGAATTTTATTAATATCCCATATATTATAATATTTCATAATTTTATTAAACTACTTTTTTATATATATATAAATCTCCAAGTAACTCTATTAATACGTGTATTATACAGAAAACTTCCCCTATTTGGTTATAAAAGAAAGTTCAGCTTTTATAATGCGCTTAGATACATACAAATATATATATATAGAGAGAGAGAGAGCATAGATAAAGGCAACATTTTACCTTCCAATTGAAGATAAAACAATCGTTAAAGCAATATAAATAACAAAAGGAAGATTGTATCAGCAATTTCTTTTTTTTTTTTTTTGTAATTTATCTTTTTCTTAATACTTTTGTTTAATTCTTTGTTTTATATTCTCGATTCTTGTACCTATTTTAAAGAATAAACGATATTTTTTTTTTATCATATTGAATTGTATTTTTTATTGATGTATTTGATTTTAAATTTATTTCAATAAGAAAGTTAAGTTTTTATTTTATTATTTATTTCTATCTGGAAGATTTAAAAAATTTTCCCAAGAAAATTCTTAAAATCAGTAAAAATTACTAAATTTTACATATTTTTTTTTTTTTTTTTTTTTGAAATAATAAATACAAATTATTATTTATTTATTTTAAAAATTCATTTTAACAGTGTACGGTTTAAATTTCTCAAATATGTAAAATTTGCCTGAGTACAGAAAAAGAATTTTTAATTTTCGAATATTTTTTTTTTGTTAACCTCATTTTAAATTAGAAAATAACTTTTCTATGACATTATTTTCATATAAAAATCCTTTCAGTCTACTCCATTAAAACTCAACTTTTAATACTCTTATATTACAAAAGTTCCGTGTATTTTTTCAAAGAAAAATTTTTTCTGTTTCATTAATTTTTTTTTTAATTACATGAATTTTTTTTACCAATGAGAGGACTTTATCTAAAGAAGCAGATAAAACAAATAAAAAGAATTATGCTGAATTTTTAAATAGTCAATTTTTGTTATTTTATCAGTAGTATAAGTCAATGATTAATTCGACTTTCTACTATTTTGTAATTTTTATTAGAAGATCAAAACGATTTTAATCAGATGTAATATTTAGTTTGTCTTTTTCAATATTTGTAATTTTTTCAGTAGTACAAGTCAATGTAGAATTTGATTTTCTGATTTTTTTGTGATTTTATCAGTAGTACAAGTTGGTTTTAATCAGACAATATTAAAAAATTAAAAGTATAAATAAATGTTTTATCAGACTAGCTAAATAGTTGTTTGTTTCTTAGTAGCACAAATTGTGTTTAGTCATACATAATTACCAAATTATAAAATTAGTAGTACAAGTAAATATTAAGTCAGACTTTATTAAAAAATTTAAAAAAAATTTTCAGTAGTACAAGTCAGTATTAATTTTTAATTTCTAGTTTTGTAATTTTATCAGTAGTATAAATCGATTTTAATCAGATATAATTATCAAATTATAAAATCAGTAGTGCAAGTAAATAATAAGTCAGATTTTATTAAAAATTGATAATTTTCTCAGTATTACAAGTCATTGTTTAATTTTACGTTCTAGTTTTGTAATTTTTTCAGTAGTATAAATCGAGTTTAGTCAAACGTAAATATTAATTTGCAAAAAATAGTAGTAAAAGTAAAGTGTAACTTTTCAAATGTTTGAAATTTTTTTTCAGTAGTACAAGTCAATGCTAATTTTACTTTCTAATTTTCTAATTTTATAAGTAATTTAAATTAATTTTATTCGATCATAATATCATCTAATATTGAAAATAATAGTACAATTTCCATTAAACTTGTTAAATTCTATTAAAATTATCAGTAGTAAAACTCGCGTTAAGTCAGACTTAATTAATAAATTCAGAAAATCAGTAGTTTAAGTAAATATTTAGTCAGACATTCTCAAAAATTTTCTATTTTTCTTTTTCTTTTCTTTACATTTCTATTTTAGTCAGACAAAAAAAAAAGATTTTAATTTCTTTTTTCCCCCATTCATATTTTTTCCGACTATAAATATAAAAAAAAAAAGTAAATTTTTTTTCTACTTTTCCAAAAAGAAAAATAAAAATAAAATTTCATATTTGAAAAAAGAGAGAAAAAAAAATTAGATAAATATTATATTGATATGAAACGAAATAAGACAGATTGAGAGTCGCGAGCAAACGTCATATTGGATACTGGTGGTGGTGGGGTAAAAGGCGGTGAGAAATGGTGGTGAAATAAGTTTGGTGAATTCGTACGGAAATGTCAGTGAAATAACTTTAGGTGGGGTAAATTCTTACCGCGTTTGGGGGTCGGTAAAAAAAAAAAGCGTACGGAATGCTTTCCCATATTTGACTTATATCGCGAGCGGGAAATGAAACGTTCGGCCCGAAGGCGGGTAAAGTGCATCACGCCATACATATCAATACACCTAACCGAAGAGATGGCAAGGTAAAGCTCGATATGAAATTTTAAGATCGTGAACTTTGCCGATGAGTTTACCATAAATAAATAAAAGATGAGAGAGAAAGAGAACGAGAGAGAGAGAGAGAGACGTTTTGCTGAAAGCTTTCGCGACCTTTTTTCTCATTCAACATATATCAATGTGAAAACTCTGGTCATTCGGTCAGTTTCAATAATATTGAGCCTGTGACAGATTTTTATAAACATGTATTTATATCATAAAACCACAAACATCAAAGTGCATCAATGTCTCTCCATTTTCTTATTATTCAATTTTGTATGTTTTTTTTTTTTTTTTCTAAAACTTGTTTCCATGAATTATTTCCTCTCGTGTATTAAAAAATATAGGTAAAAACAATTTTTTTTTTAATAACTTTTGAAATTTTTAAATTTCTGCCAAACGAAATTTTTTATTTAAATAAAAAAGTAAATAATTATTTCGTGGAAAAGTATTTTTTTTTTTTAGAGAGAAAAATTTTTTTTGTGAAATGTGTAAAACAACTTTAAGAATTGTGAATAGAGTAAATATGAAGTGACAACACACAATATGTTATATAAATTTATAAAAATAAAAATAGGGAAAGAAGAGGCCATAATTTTTCAATTTCAAAAGTCAACCTCACGTTTAAGAAAAGTGGAAATATCTCAATTTTTACCAACAGCAATATTGTAGATTATCATGTAAGCTTCTTTTCTCTCTCTCTCTCTCTCTCTCTCTCTCTCTCTCTCTCTCTCTCTCTCTTGTCGTTCGTTTTTTTTCTCTCTTTTTTCCAACATCACAAGGTTAAATAAGTTGTAAAAGGAAGAATGGCAAAATTTATAATAATAATAGGGTACTAAAAATACGGAGTAGAAAATAGAGAATTTTCACCTGTAAATATATATAATCGTTTAAATGTGTGTGTGTAATATGGCCAAAATGTAACGTAACGCTTTATAGGGAAAAAAAAAAAATATATATATATGAGGGACGACATATTGACGAAATGGCGTTTTCAAAATGCACCGCCTCGACGTTTAACCGCTTCCTCGCGCGACGTAACCCAGCTTTTCTGATGAAGATAAAACGGGATAATTATAGAGCCTATCAGGATCGTACGCGAGTAAATTTCGTTGAAACACGCGAGATCGCCGGACATAGGCGCGGTGATAAAGGGAATCGAGCCAAGGAAATAAAAAAAAAAAAAAAA